CATATCTCCCCAGCTTAGAAATTCCAGAGAGAAAAGACAATTCTTCCATTTTGCTCTGAGAGAAAAGTCCTGGGGAGGAGTCTGATAGACTTAGCCGAGGTCAGATGCCTACCCATGAGCCAATCACCTGCTTTACTGGAGTTCAGTCCCTGGGCGACTCATCCCCGGGGCCAGTGAGGAGGCAGGATGGCATTATCTGGCAGTTCTCCAAGAAAAGCCTGCTGTTTTTGTAAGATGAAAGGGGAGAGGACATGGATAATGAAACCTGTATCTGCTTCTGTAAAATCCACAGAATCTTACTCCCTGCCCCGCGTCGATGACCATGCAGTAAGCTGACCCAGGAGGTCATTTTTCCCACAACAGTCTTTATATATATGACTAAGGAACAAACTGGTAAAAGAATATGGGAGAAAGTCTGAGTATGAGAAGTCAGCTAGACTGATATCAACTAAAAAAGCTGCGTGAAAATATCCTTAAAAATTGCCCCCAACTCAGTCAAAGTCCAAAGTTGGAGCTGGAAATACAATGTCATGGAGTTTGGATAAGAACAGGTTTTCTCCAAGATGAACTATGACACAGAGATTAGAGACTTCTAGAAACTATACTTTTTCAAAGAAAAAACATCACATGAGAAAAATGAGGCCTAGAAAAATTAAATGACTTAAGGTAACATAGCTAATTAATGGCAGGACTGAGACTAGACTATACTTTGTGTAATTGGCTATAGTCTTTTAAATCCATGATACAACGTCTATATGTAACAAATTTGTTAAACCCTAAATGTTTATGAAATTCAAGTAATCCATTATCTGAATTATTCTTGAAGAGAAAATATCCAAAGACTTCTTAATTGTATGGGTATACATACATAAAATACACGTGGAGGTAACTTCAAATATAGTATGTGTCTGTCTCTATTCCTTCCCTCTCCACTCTTTTAAAAAATGCCCCTTTAAAAATTGCCCACTCACCATCTGTTAGGTAAGTTTGCTGAAACACAGTAAATGTGGAGACAGAAATTGTTATAGATACTATTCCAAATGGCACTGACACCTGTATTTATGAAATTTTTAAAAGGGTAAGTTAGAGTTGTTTTTTTTTTTTAAAAATCCCACTATAGTAACACCACATCATCCTAGGTGCCCAGTTCTATCCAATTACATAAGATGGAGAGAGAGAGAGAGAGAGAGAGAGAGAGGGAAAGAGAAAGAAGAAAGGAAGAAAACCAAGTACTTATGTATAAAATGTTGCTCCCAAAGTTTGAGATTATACTCAAGCATCAATGAACAGAAGGAAAACACTTACAAATTTACAAATGTATTTCATTTATGGTACGAGGGACACAGGTTTAGATTTGCAACACGCTCCCACGGGTCAAATTGACCACTTTTTTCTATCTAGTTGCTCTTGAGAGAACAAAACAATTGAAACAGATGCCATTCAATTCCAAGTCTATAGCTTAGACCATGTCACTGCACATGAAATATTGTTCATTCAGAGTCAGCACATAGCAAGAGTAATTTATACTCTCAGAGTGTTTGCTCTCAAGTCAATAGCAGAGAAGCCTTGAATAAAAACGTTCCCATTACTATCCATTGTAATATATCTTACTTATAGCCCATGAAACAGTGGTCAGGGGAGATTTATTCTTTGGACACCATATTATATAATCTCTCCACTTTAAGCCATCCCCCACTCGGCGATTATTTTTTAAATATGTTACTCGTAGTCAATAGTAATTTACATTTAATCTTTCTTAGCATTAGGAGAGTATTATTTTGTACAGGCTCAGAAACAAATCTCCCGAAATTCCTCCCTGATGCTCCCTTCAGGCTGAAAATGCATTGCAGGGTGGCTGCAGTGACTTAATTCTAGTTGGCAGAGCCCTGGCCACACACTAATTTCATTAGCCTCAAACTCCTGGATTTGAAAGATCCACTGAATATGATTCCTGTCCTCTGACAYGTCACTTACTAACCAATTCAGTGTGCATACAGAGGAGAGAAAGGACTTGCTCAGCTCTGGCCCACCGGCAGGCAGATGAGAATTCCCAGTCAGAGACACTGTTTACATCTGAGTGGTCRTTCTTGCCCGGGTCCTCATTTTCAGGAAGGAACTTCAATCCAGGCTTTGCYGGCAGCTGCAGCATTTGTTACATCCATTACTAGCCCCTTCTTCCTTCCTGCCCCCCAGTGCTTAGCATCCCCCATTTCAGTCACTAAGTCTTCCTTCCCCCAGCCTAGAAGCTTACCTCACCATAAATTTTTATCTCAAATGATAGGTTTGGCACATTCCCCACAGCAACCCACAGGGACTGGGGAAAAGAAAACTCAAATCTCTGGAGAGCTAAGAATTCAGCCATTTAGAGGAGTTTCTTTTATACAGGACAGTCTTCATTGAGCTGAACCCTGCAATCCCAGAGAAGATTCACCTACACGTTCTTTTCCTCTTTCCCTAAAGCGACTGTGTCTTTGAACAATGGGTCTGTGTTCCACTATTCTCTCTATTCATTTTGCAGGTTTACAGAGGCTGGGAAACTGGGGACTGGACTTACATGCCAGGAGCTTCTAAGATCACATGCAAAAATAAGTCTACTGGAAGAGATTGTTGGAATCTATCTCTGTATATTTGAACATGGGCAGTGGTTAACCAGGATGCTCACACCAAGCTTATATCCAGCTTGCAGCACAAGCTACAAGTTGGTGCATCCCTCCTACTACCAGCCTCTTCTCAATAAATGCATGTGAAAACTGGGGGCTCTTTTCCCTCAGCTGTTCAATCCAACATGAATAGCTGCAATTTGCAAATTAGAGGAAAATGACAGTGTTTTGTCTGAATGGTTTTGGTCCCAACGCACACTGCTAATGCTGGCATTCAGTTCCTTTCCTTCCCAGCCCAGGGAACGGGGAACTAAGCATAAGGCAAGCGTTCTCTTTTCTTGCAAGTGCCTCAGATCCACACACCAGAGAAGGAATCAGCTCCCCCTGGAATCTTTTTCAGCAAACACAATCCTTCAGCCTAGTCTGCAAGCTCTCTCTTAACTTTAAGATTTCACTCTTTTTTCGACAGGCAGGCCCATCTGCAGTACTGCCCAAGCTCCAAGTGAAGGCACCAAAATAATTTTAAAAATGTCAAATAGCAAATGTGCCTTCAACCCCCAGAGCCCCAGTAAAAATACTGTGAGTTGCCCCTGTGGTTCTCAGGTGACCTCTGTCCTCATCCTCCCTGCAGCGCTGCCTCCTCAGGCTCTCTAGTTTAAGCTCAGAGGTAAAGGAAGTGCTTCTGGGTTTTGCTTACAACAACCCAGGCTCTTCCTGAAAGCATTACCTCAAAGTGAAGGCTGCCCAGAAGCACTTTTGGCCTTGCAAACATCTAGAGGTGGCATACTCAACAGGTGCTAGGGATGCTCAGAGGCTCAGAGGGGCCATACCAGGCTGCAGCTTTAGACAGGCACCCCTCCTTCTGGCACAAACACAAACTTCATACCCCTGGGTGCTGATGTAGTGACAGCTTGAATCTCACAAGGAGTCCCCTCCAGAAACCCAACATGCTTCAGGAAAGGCGCTTGAGAGGGAGCCAACTTTTTAGCTACGGGGAGCACAAGGGTCAGCCAGAACATCTGGAGAAGGGGCTGAGCTTGTGTCCTACCAGGCAGGGAGAGAGCTGTGCATTAGGAAAGGATCACTTCAAGACAGAGATGAACAAAAAACTTGGAGATAGAGGTAGAGAAGGAAAAGAGAGACAGAAATTGAAAGGGAGAACATAAAAACAGAGAGACAAAAAAAAAAAGCAGGGAGAAAGAGGCACAAGGAGAGAGACACACAGGAAGAAAGACAGAGAAACAAGAGAACCCATAGTCACGCAGACCCTGAAACTCAATTTCTTCATCCAGAAGCCATCCATCTATAGCCAGGGCGGCACAGGAGCCGTGGGGCCGAGGCTGCGGGAGCAGGCGGTGAGAGAGCACTGCAGCACCGCCCACCGCTCAGGGGGCCCGATCCGCCGTCCTCGCATCTTCCGCCGTTGCCCGCCTGCACCCGGAGCTAGAGGACCGCCCGGCCTTGCTCAGCGCACCCTACTGCCTCCCTCCAGGCGCCTTCTTGTCTGGCTCTGAGAATCGTCCTCAAAATCCAGGACTGGGGTTGGGGGCTGCGTTAGGGAGGTCGTGGGAAAGGATGGGCACAGGGTGGGTGCAGAAAAAGCGACTGTGTTTCGCAGTTAGCATGAGCTCACCTCCGGGCTCTGAGCTGGCAGGAGTAGAAAGCTGATCGCCCGGCTCCTGCCAGTGGCCGGATCGCAAAGGCAGTTTAGACGGTGCAAACAACTGCCCAGAGCAAATCACCTGGGGGCACGTCTGCAGGTGGCTTCTCCCCGCTTGAGGACAGTCCCCACGCCTTCCGCCCCATGCCCTCGCAGAGACAGGTTACAGGTCGGGAAATCCAACCCGAGCGAAATGGGCAATTCACGTCCAAACGTAGGTGAAGACCTAGGCTTCGGTTTAAGAACGGCCTCCCTAAGCTCTTCTCGAAATTGTCCAAGGGAGCTGCAGCTTGTCGGGCGGCTTGGGGCAGGGAAGCTGGGGAGTTGAGACATGCCTAGTTTGTAGGCGTCTTCTCATCTTTCATATTCCTTGCGCCTAAGTGGCTCTCACAGGAGCCCGGCACTTTTACAAGCCTGTTTTGGAACCATATATCACTCGAATGCAAGCCCATTTAAATCATCGCCTTGTTTTTCGGAGACTGTTTCTTGTCAATGGGGCCATAAATCCAGAATGTCAAGCCGGATGGAGTGGAGCGCGGACAGGGGAGAGATGGAAGGGAAATGAATCAAGCAGGGAAAGTACCTCCTCGGGTGAGGTGGGAGGGATTCGGCAGGATCTCCAGGGTGGAAATGAGCGAAGGCTGACCAGACCCCGCACCCCTGGAGTCCAAGCCAGTCTTCAGGATAAAGAGCGCGGGGAGCTACGGCGCGCTCTGCCCCGGAGGGAGCGCCCCCCCTACCTGGAAAAGCCTCAGGATGTTGGCTACCATGATGGAGACCAAACTCCCCGAAGCCCCAATCACTCCAACTACTTTCTCGGGCTTGACGAAAACCGGAGGCTCGCCGTTGGTGCAGCGCACTTCGGAGGTGTCCTTCTGGATGAGCGCCTGGACGAAAGTGAGCGACTGTTCGAGCGTATAAGTGTCCCTGGAACAAGTGTCCAGGATCCGCGCTCCCAGCGTCACGTTGGGCAGCAGGTTGGGATCGCTGTTGATCTGGTCCAGGGCGTAGAGCATCGCTTCCAGCCTGTGGATCCCGTTCTCCCTCTTGATGTCGCCGCAGGGCACTCCGCTGGGACCCTTCGCGTGCACCGGGAACAGCCCCCCGAGGGTGACGTCCCCCTCGATCCGAATGGAGTGCGGGGCGTACATCTCCTGGCCGCGCGCCGCCGCCGCCAGCGCGCACAGAAGCACCTCCAGCACGCAGCAGGGAAACTTCATCAAAGTCAGGGCGCGGAGCAGCTTCCCCAGCTGGATCATGCTGCTCCCGCGGCTGCGGTGGTGGCGGCGGCACTCGAGGGGACGGTGGCGGGCTCGCCGGAGTCCTGGCGCCTTGGGGTGAGCTCCTCCGGGGAAGCCCAGGGTCTCCTGCGGGCGAGGAGGGTAGGGGCGCCCGGGAAAGGGCAGCCGGCGAGGGTGGGGGGTCCCGCGGCGCCTGCCAGCTTGGGGCGCCGTGCGCTCTTGGGTTCCCCGGCCAGCGCGCCTCGCTCGAGCTCGCGCTCGGTGGCTTGCAGCTCGAGCTCTCCAACAGCCCAGCACTGGGGAGAGAGCGAGGATGGCTATCGCTTTAAAGGCGCTTTCGACTCCCTCTCCTCCTCCGCCCACTCCCTCCCACCCTCGCTCGCTCTCAGGCTCTCCCCACCCTTCCCAGCGCCCACCCTCCCTACGGTTTTGCATCATCACGCAGGGAGGGGCTGCGTGCTGAGGTAAGGGGGGAGGGAATGGGTGGGCGGCTGTGGGGGGGAGTACCTCCTATTGGGAGTTTCGAGGTCCCCAGGGAATCTGAGGATTGCAGGTCGCAGGCGAAGGCTGAGCTCCTGTTTCGGTCTCACTGTAGAAGCCGCTCGCTCGCCCGCCTGCACCCACACGCACATTCTAGGCACAGGGTGGCATCAGCCCCGGACAGGGCGGTTCTAGCTGGGCTGGCTGACTGCTTCCAACCCTGAGGTCCGGAGCCGGCGCTGTCAGCGCCGGGAGAATGCGAGGTAGTCGGTGATGCCGCCAAGCATGAAGGGTAGTAGGGAGACCCCAGTCTCTACTGCTAATTCGTCTGTGCCAGTTTTTCCTAAGAAAAACACACATACACACAGGAGCCTGATTTATGACCTAAAGAACCTTTACGCAGAGACTTCTCCGGGGCCAGGCACTGGGCTAGCCTGTAGGGAAAGACGCCAACAAGAAATGCTGGGAATGGAAATGCATCTTTGGTCTTCAGGGGTTACTGTGGCCGGAGCCCGATGAAGTAACCCTGGTCTCCAGTAAATCTGTGCCGGATTCGCTCCTTTTCTTCCTTTCATCGCAAGAGATGGAACAACTGAGAACTCTGCAGAGCGCACTTTCTTCTCTGGCGCTGACAGGTGTAAGGCTCCCTCCTACCCATTTCCAGAGATGTTTTTGGGCTGATGTCAGGTTTCCTCGGGCAGGAAATAGCAAGAAAGAGGTGACAGTAGGAGGAGCAGACAGAAATCTCCCCATCGATCCAGTGATCCAGTGATCCATTCTTTTTTTTTTTTTTTTT